GCGCCCCAAGAGGGCCCCAAGAGGCCCAGGCCCCAAGAGGCCCCCAAGATGGCTCAAGACGGCTCCAAGAGCGAAAAAGCGAAAAAAAAAAAAAAAACATTGATTTTCCCGAGGTTTTGGAAGGATTTGGGCTTCAAGAAGGGCCCAAGAGGCGATTCGAGGCACTCTAGAGGGGCAGCGCTAATGTACGACCCCCCCTTCTTTGATAGATCACCTCCAAGATGGCCCCAAGAGCGCCCCGAAGGCTCCCAAGAGCGCCCCAAGAGGCCCCAAGAGGCCCCCAAGAGGCCTTCAAGAGGCTCCCAAGAGACCCCCAAGAGGCCCCTAAGAGGCTCCCAAGATGGCCCAAGACGGCTCCAAGAGCGAAAAGGCGGAAAAGCACAAAACATTGATTATCCCGGCAAAGCAACCTAACATCGATGTGTAGGAGCACATCTGGAAGCATTCTCCTTAAGATTCGGATGAGAATCCAGTTATAGAATTCTGCTGTTCTCGCAGTCGTAGTCGCATTCGCGATGACAGTCGCAGTGGCAACGGCAGTCGCAGTCACAGCCTCAGCCTCAGCCTGCCTCAGCCTCAGCCTCAGCCTCAGCCTGCCTCAGCCTCAGCCTGCCTCAGCCTCAGCCTCAGCCTGCTTCAGCCTCAGCATCAGTCTGCCTTCAGCCTCGGCCTCAGCCTCAGCCTGCCTCAGCCTCAGCCTGCATCAGCCTCAGCCTCAGCCTCAGCCTGCCTCAGCTCGCCTCAGCATCAGCCTGCCTCAGCCTCAGCCTCAGCCTGCCTCTGCCTCAGCCTCAGCCAGCTTCAGCCTCAGCCTCAGTCTGCCTTCAGCCTCGGCCTCAGCCTCAGCCTGCCTCAGCCTCAGCCTGCATCAGCCTCAGCCTCAGCGCCTCAGCCTGCAGCATCAGCCTGCCTCAGCCTCAGCCTGCCACAGCCTCAGCCTCAGCCTGCTTCAGCCTCAGCCTCAGTCTGCCTTCAGCCTCGGCCTCAGCCTCAGCCTGCCTCAGCCTGCAGCCTCAGCATCAGCCTCAGCCTCAGCCTGCCTCAGCCTCAGCCTCAGCCTGCTCAGCCTCAGCCTCAGTCTGCCTTCAGCCTCCGCCTCAGCCTCAGCCTGCCGCAGCCTCAGCCTCAGCCTCAGCTTCAGCCTCAGCAGAGCCTCTGCCTGCTCCTCAGCCTCAGCCTGCTTCAGCCTCAGCCTCAATCTGCCTTCAGCCTCGGCCTCAGCCTCAGCCTGCCTCAGCCTCAGCCTGCATCAGCCTCAGCCTCAGCCTCAGCTGCCTCAGCCTCAGCCTGCCTCAGCATCAGCCTGCCTCAGCCTCAGCCTCAGCCTGCCTCAGCCTCAGCCTCAGCCTGCTTCAGCCTCAGCCTCAGTCTGCCTTCAGCCTCGGCCTCAGCCTCAGCCTGCCTCAGCCTCAGCCTGCATCAGCCTCAGCCTCAGCCTCAGCCTGCATCAGCCTCAGCCTCAGCCTCAGCCTCAGCCCTCAGCCTCAGCCTCAGCCTCAGCCTCAGCCTCAGCCTGCTTCAGCCTCAGCCTCAGTCTGCCTTCAGCCTCGGCCTCAGCCTCAGCCTGCCTCAGCCTCAGCCTCAGCCTCAGCCTCAGCCTGCCTCAGCATCAGCCTGCAGCCTCAGCCTCAGCCTGCCTCAGCCTCAGCCTCAGCCTCAGCCTCAGCCTCAGCATCAGCCTCAGCCTCAGCCTCAGCCTGCCTCTGCCTCAGCCTCAGCCTGCTGCCTCAGCCTCGGCCTCAGCCTCAGCCTCAGCCTCAGCCTCAGCCTGCCTCAGCCTCAGCCTCAGCCTCAGCCTGCCTCAGCATCAGCCTGCATCAGCCTCAGCCTCAGCCTGCCTCTGCCTCAGCCTCAGCCTGCTTCAGCCTCAGCCTCAGTCTGCCTTCAGCCTCGGCCTCAGCCTCAGCCTGCCTCAGCCTCAGCCTGCCTCAGCCTCAGCCTCAGCCTGCCTCAGCATTCAAAATGTGGCCCGGGAATGGAATTCTGGGAACTCGAAGAACACGAAGTGGCCTACAGTTGGCTCCGGGCATTCAAAATCATGCCCAGGAATGGAATTCTGGGAACTCGAAGATCACGAAGTGGCCTACAGTTGGCTCCGGGCATTCAAAATGTGGCCCGGGAATGGAGTTCTGGGAAGTCGAAGAGCACGAAGTGGCCTACAGTTGGCTCCGGGCATCCAAAATGTGGCCCGGGAATGGAGTTCTGGGAACTCGAAGAAGCACGAAGTGGCCTACAGTTGGCTCCGGGCATTCAAAATGTGGCCCGGGAATGGAGTTCTGGGAAATCGAAGAGCACGAAGTGGCCTACAGTTGGCTCCGGGCATTCAAATGTGGCCCGGGAATGGAGTTCTGGGAAGTCGAAGAGCACGAAGTGGCCTACAGTTGGCTCCGGGCATTCCAAAATGTGGCCCGGGAATGGAGTTCTGGGAAATCGAAAAGCACGAAGTGTGTGACTGTATGCGAAAAACGATCCCCCCCGGCAAACCCCAACGGCCCCCCAACTGCCACCCAACTGCCCCCAACGGCTGCCCAGACCCCCCTGTGGAGTAATGTTGAAGTAATGTTGAAGTAATGTGCTGCTCTCTTTTTAGCCTATTAGAAACCTATCAGTCTTCGATGTTAGGTAATTTTCTGTAGGTTTTGGAAGGATGTTGGCCTCAAGAAGGGCCTCAGAGGCGATTCGAGGCATTCTAGAGGGACAGCGCTAATATACGACCCCCCCTTTTTTGATAGATCTCCTCCAAGATGGCCCCAAGAGCGCCCCGAAGGCTCCCAAGAGCGCCCCAAGAGCGCCCCAAGAGGCCCCAAGAGGCTCCCAAGAGGCCTCCAAGAGGCCCCCCAGAGACCCCCAAGAGGCCACAAGAGGCTCCCCGATATACGCAAGAGGCCCCCGGGACCGCCAAGAGGCCCCACAGACGGCCCAAGAGGCCCCCAAGCTCGCCATTGTTCTCCTCCTCCTCCTCCTCCTCCTCCTCCTCCTCCTCCTCCTCCTCCCCCTCCTGCTCCTGCTCCTCCTGCTATTCCTCTTCCTACTCCGACGACGACGGCTCCTCCTACATCCTCCCCTTCTTGGGGTATATGGCGGCTCACCCCGCCCTTTGTTCTTCTGCATGCTCCCCCGCTTCCCTCATAACCTCCACTCCCCTGGGACTCATTTCTGGACGGGCGAAGCGTCTAGAATTTCAGGGCGTCTGGACATTCTCATTTTTCGAGGATTCTGGGCAAAACATTCCGCATTTCCTTAAATTGAGGAAAACGAAGGTCAGCGGATGCCCTTCTTTGTCGAGCGGACTTTCAAAAACCAGCGTTTCGTTGACATTCTCAGAGCTCCCACACAAAGTTAGACTTTTCATTATTCCGCATCGAGCGGAAATCTGCCCGCCTTACGGGAATTTGGCGCTGGGGACAGATTACCGTCCTAGAAGAAAACCCTGGGCCCGCGCCCTTTCCGGGAGTATTCTTCGATCCTCCTGGAAGCACCCTGAGATTTGGAAGTTGCAATTTGTTTCACACCGTGGGGCGTAGATTTGTAGAAAAAAGAGCTAGGGTTCCCGCCTGAAAGATCCTGTCTAGGGTTCCGGCCGAGGTTCTTCGCGATGGCGCAATTTTGGCGGGCAGCGTCGGATCCCAGTGGCACCCAAGCCGGGCCCAGACGACTGCTCCCAGAGGTGGTCGTTCGCTTGTTCGATCCCCCCTTCCCTCTCGCACCAGGGGGCGCTCGCGAGCCTGGGCGGCCCCGCAAGCGCTATACGCAGCAGACTGCTCCGGCTGTAGCTTCACTTAGCGCGCCCGGCAGCCCTACAGAGGGGCACGGGCGCGGGGTTTCCCGCAGCGCTGCTTCTTTCCTTCCTTCCTTCCTTCCGGGCGAAGGCGGGGAGGAGGAGGAGGAGGAGGAGGAGGAAGAGGAGGAGGAGGAGGAGGAGGAGGAGGAGGGTGAGGAGGAGGAGGAGGAGGAGGAGGAGGAGGCGACGGGGAGGGGAGGGGAGGGGGAGAGGGAGGAGGAGAGGAGAGGAGAGCAGGAGGAGGGAGGAGGAAGATGGAGGAGGAGGAGGAGGAAGGAGGAGTAAGACGAGAGGAGTAGACGAGGGAGAGGAGGGAAGGAGGAGGAGGAGGAGGAAGACGAGGAGGAGGAGGAGGAGGAGGAGAGAGATGAGGAGGAGGAGGAGAGGAGGAGGAGTAGAGAGGAGAGGAGGAGGAGGAGGAGAGGAGGAGGAGGAGGAGGAGGAGAGAGGAGGAGGAGGAAGGAGGAGGAGAGGAGGAGGAGGAGGAGGAGGAGGAGAGAGGAGGAGGAGGAGGAGGGGTGATCGGGAAGTCGGGGGGTTACATGCAACGTGTAGCCGGTTTCGGCCCCGCTGCCAGCAGGGCTCGGCGCCTCGACGTGCGTGGTCGCCGGGAGGCGACTGGGAGACCAGGCTGAGCTACAGTCAGGGACAACGATAGGGGGGGATGGGCACGGGGGATGCATCGACCCAGAATCGCCCATTGATCGCCGATAAGGGCCTGATAGCCCCAACCTGCACAGGAAGGGGCGGATTCACTATCGGGGGCCTATCGGCGATGTATCGCCGATTCCCTGTCGATGCATCCCCCCCTATGCCAGTCCCCATTATCGTTGCCCCTCACACACGGGGAAGGCAGCAGGTCACCACCCACCAACCCACCCCAACCCAACCCGAGGGCCTCAAGTTGCCCTCCATTTCCAGTGTGGGGGGGGGGGTCGGGGAACATTGAAACAACACATGGGGCCCGTACCCCCCCCAACCCGAAATTCGGGTCAAATTCGTGTCTTCGGGTCGGGTTGGGGTGGTTTGGCAGGCAGTCAGCAGGGGCGAGCCTTCTCAGACGGCGGCGGAGCTTCCGAGAAGCCCCCGAGAAGCCCTCGGGCCTTCGGAAGGCCAGGGGCCTGCCGAGCCCTCCGAGGAGGCCGGCCGCTGCTGACCTGCCGACCCTGGGCGCCCCGCCGGCCTTCGTTGCCGCCCTGCTGCTGTCCGACCCGGCCAGGGGTTGCTCAGCAAGCAGCTGATGGGCGGCGTCGGCGTGTTCGAGTGCGAGGCCCGCTCGATCCCGCGGTGCCTGCGCTCGGAAGGGACGAGCGAACGAGCCACCGCGTCGGACAGCTGCCCGGGCCTGTTCAGACCAGATGGGTGAGGCCATGGACTCCTGCAGACATGCGCTCGGACGGGGGGGGGAGAAGGAGGAGGAGGAGGAGGAGGAGGAGGAGGAGGAAAAGGAGGAGGAGGAGGAGGAGGAGGAGGAGGAGGAGGAGAGGATGGCAGAGGAGGAACTCAGGAGGAGGAGTACGAGGAGGACGAGGAGGGGAGGAGGGCGAGGAGACGAGGATGACGAGGAGGACGAGGAGGACGAGGAGGACGAGGAGGACGAGGAGGACGAGGAGGACGAGGAGGACGAGAGGACGAGGAGGACGAGGAGACGCGGAGAAAGGACTGGAGACGAGGAGGACGGAGGAGGAGGAGGAGGACACGAGGAGGACGAGGAGGAGACGAGGGAACGAGGGAGCGAGGAGAGGAGGAGGAGAGAGGAGGAAGGGGAGGAGGAGGCGGGGGAGGAGCGGGAAAGGAGGGGGAGGAGCGGGAAAGGAAGGGAGGAGGAGGAGGAAGAGGAAGAGGAAAGGAAGAGGAGGATTAGGAAAAATAGGAAAAGAAAGGAGGAAAATGAGGAAAAGGAGGACAGACAGGAGAGGAAAAGAGGAAAAGAAGAGGAGAGGAGGAGACGAGGAGAACGAGGAGAACGATGAGGAGGAGGAGGAGGGAGGAGAAGGAGGAGAGGAGCAATAACGAGAGGAGGACGAGGAGGACGAGAGACGAGGAGGAGAGACGAGGAGGAGGAGAGGATGGAGAAGAGGAGGATGAGGAGGACGGAGGAGGACGGAGGAGGAGGAGGAGGAGGAGGAGGAGGAGGAAAAGGAAAAGGAAACGGGAAAGGAACAGGAACAGGAAAAGGAAAAGGAAAAGTACAAGGACAAGGAAACGGAAAAGGAAATAATTGAAATGGGAGAGGTAGAGGAGGAGGCGGAGGAGGAGGAGGAGGAGGACGAGGCCGAGGACGAGGACGAGGAGGAGGAGGAGGAGGAGGAGGAGGAGGAGGAGGAGGAGGAGGAGTTGGAGGAGGAGGAGGAGGAGGAGGAGGAGGAGGAGGGAGGGAGGGAGGGAGGGAGGGAGGGACAGCAGGGACGGCAGGGACGGCAGGGACGGCAGGGACGGCAGGGACGGCAGGGACGGCAGGAACGACACGAACGACAGTGACGGCAGGGACGGCAGGTTGGTTGTTTGGTTGGCGTCCTAAGGCGGCATTCTGGCGGCGCGGGCACTGCCCCTTTAGCAGAGGGCAGCAGGGCCGGAGGACGGCGACTGCCGCGACCCCGCAGCGTCTGCTCAGGGGATGGAACGGCACCGCCTGCGGGGCTAGAGGAAGAGGAGGGGGAGGACAGGGGGCGAACCAAGGAACGCCCGGTTGAGTCTGGCCCCGCGCTTCTCCTAGGACCGCGGAGGAGGAGCCGCTCTTTACCTTGGAAGCGAGCGCGATGGAGAAGAGGGGAAGGCCTGGGGAGGTGGGCCTCACGGCGACTCCCTTCCACGGGGGCCCCCGCCCGTGCTCCCAGCCGCCTCGTGTCAGCACAGGACGCAGCTGCGAGACTGAGAGGAGGGGGGGAGAGGGGGTCACCCCAGGAGAAGCAGAGATTTGTATTTCTCGGCTCCCGGTGGCTTGGCCCGGAATGACGCCTTCTCCTCTCAGAAGCTTGCCAGCGCGGCCGCCTCTGCGTAGCCAGCCTCCCCTGGTCGTGAGCCCAGTATCGCCCTTATGGTGGCCCCCTGCTCAGGCGGAGCGTCCTCTCGGCGAGCGCGCCAATAGGCCTGCCGCATGGTCTCCGCCCGCTCGCATGCTGCAAGAACGTGGGAAGTGGGGCTGTGCGCGAGGACCCCGCAGCAGACGCAACAGTGGCGACGGGCCCAAGAACGCGCCCCTCCGATCCGTGCAGGGCGGACAAGGCGAAGGCGCAATCGGGCGAGTGGTCGCTGGCCCCGGGGCTCAGCCCAGCTCAGGCCTGACGACAGGGCTCGGCGCAGATCCTGCTGGATCCCCCCACCCAGGGACAAGTAAGGTAGCGGTCGCGCGTGCTTGGCGAGCTCCTGGTTGAGGAGGAACTGCAGCATCGTTTCTCCGCCAGCTCCCTGACTCTGGCTCTGTGCGCTTCCAGGCTGGGCACGGGGAAAGCGCCTTCCCAGGCTGGCCAATCCGGCAGGTCCCAAGACTCGAGCAGCTGCAGGGAAGCGCGCGACCAAGTCCTACCAGGCACCAGATGGGCACGGTGAAGACACTTCTGTATAAATCCGAATCCGGAAGCCTCCAAAGGCCAGCACGTCGGGAGGCAACATCGAGCAATGCGCGTCGTCCGGAGCCTGAAAGCGCCCATCCTAGTTCCGCCGCCACCGCTGGAGCGGCAGGTTTCCAGGGCGGACTGTCGAGGAAGGCCTTCGCCCAGGACAAGTGGGCTTCGTCCAGCTTGAGAGCTGCCCCGTCCGCAATGGCAAACAGCCACCTGCCGAAGCGGAGGAAGGAGTCGATCTTCGCCTCGAAAATCCCCGCCGCCACGGCCAAGGGAAGGAGCCCACTGGAGACCTGGCCTTGCTAAAGTAGCACGCTGGGCAGATGCTGCACCCAAGCGGGAAGCCAGTGGACGCTCCGAGCGCAGATCGCCTTGCCATTGTAGCCCCAGAGGCCATGACAGCATGCTTGGTGGCTTCGGTGTGAGGCGAAGTCTTCTGGCGAGAGGCCCAAGCCGCAAACGCGGCCTGCGACCTCCTGCGCGGCCCCTCGGGATGATGCGAATAGCGCGGGGCCGTCCGCGCGGAGAATCGCCGCCGGGCGCCGCGGGGCTGAGGCGCCCACTGCCGCGAGGGCGGATGCTTCAAGATTCACGTCGGCAGCGAGGTCCTTGGCGGCGGGGATCGGCAAGTTCTTCTGCAGGGAACGTAGCAGCGCAGACGCGCGCTCTGCATTAGGCCATAGAGTTCCCTGGTGCCACACCGTTGGTGCTGCGCCCAAGCCCGTGGACAGCGGGCGCCAACGCCGAATCTACACCCTTCGGAGAGTAGAGTTTCGGGCACCGTGTCCATGTGCGCGGGGAAAGTCAGGGGTCCGATGGCCCCCCCTTGTAAAATCCCTTGGGAGTGAGAAGACACCGTCGGATGAACCCACGGCGTCCCTGAGCCTGACCAGGAGCGACTCCCGCCAAGTTCGCGGGAATGCTTTCTGGAGGTCTCCGAACATTGTCCACGAGGATCTCTTTGTGAAGGCGGCCTCCGTTGCCAGTTCATGGAATAAAAGCTGCGCGTCGCCCGCTTCGCGGATGCACCCACTTTGCCCCAGCGTGAGTCTACCCCGCAGGTCTGGGCGGACACGGAAGAGCAGGGCGAGTTCTTGGAGGAGGCCCATTTGGGATTTATTCATGATTGAACGAAAAGAGTCCCCACTGTCCTCGGGGCCTTCTGTGCGCAGGGGCACGGCGCAACTTCCCCGCCAATCTTTGGGGCGAGCCGCGAAGCGCCCAGGGCCTGCAAGCCTCGGGGGGGTCCAGGCGACCGCGCCCAGGACGGGCATCTCCGAGCAAAAGGGCGCTTCTCGGCAGGAGGTCCGGGGCTGCAGCCCTCGTGGTGCCTGGCGTGCCGGTGGCCCCGATGACCTCCGTCTCGGCGGCTGCTCTGTCGCGGGGGCCCTGCCCGCGGCGCGAGCGAGCGCGGCCCGCCGGCCCGGGAGGGCGGTCCGGGATTCGAGCGCGGTGATGAGCATATCCCACTGGCCCGGCTGCTCTGTTTGCTTCTGGAGCTGCCGGCATAGAGGCTCCCAGGATTCGTCTGGGCCGAGCAGAGCATCATCCGCACCCCGCAGGGCTGCTGCGATCTGTAGCCGCGTTGGAGGCAGGATCCGCACGCACGCGGCGAGTCGTGTGGACCCTGGGCCCTTTGTTGCTGCAAGGCTGACCGACTGCGGTCGATCGCGGGCCCGGCAAGTAGCGGGGGCAGTCGGCGCAGCCCAACCTGCCAAGACTAGGCCCATTATTGCGAAGGCCTTACGGCCGGTGCCGCCGACCCTGGAGGGCGACCCATGCGGGCGCGGCTCGGGCGCGGTCCGAGCGCGGCTCGGGCGCGGCTCGGGCGCGGCTCGGCGGCGGCTCGGGCGGCTCGGGTGCGGCCCCGAAACAATAAAGAATCCCTACGTGCAGTAAACTTGCCAAGACTAGGCCCATTATTTTATTGAAGATCCATACAGATGCGTCTGGTACCCGGGACGACGCTGCTGGGGCGAGCTGCTGCGCCCAGGCCACGGCGGCGTCACCACGGCACAATTTGACTGAGGCGGACTCCAGGGCCTCTAGAGCCGGACGCGCTTCGCGGACGCCCTGCATCCACGAGGCCTCTTCGAGCCACCGCGGCGGCATGCACCTCGTGCCCAGCCCTTGGGCCGCAGGGGGGTGCTTCAGGGAGAGCTCCACTTCTGAGAGGAGGTGTTCCCCGAGTGCGTAGTCTACACATCGGGAGAGAAAGAAGGACGTACATGTACATGAATCCACGCTGGTTTCGAGAGTTCGCATTGAGCGAATGTTCGTATCGCGCGGCAGGTCTCGCGGGCCAAGGGGCCGTGTTCATGTACATAGCTGGGCGCGTACGTCCTTTGTGGGCTCCCTAACACAGTCACCCCAGCGACGAAGATCCCCATGCTCTCCATGCTGGCGGCAAGAGACGCCGTTGTGCACCAGGGCTGCCCCTTGGGCGGCTCGCGACGCCAGCGCGATGTCGATGCAGCGGGACTGCCCTTAACAATGGCGGGCGTTTCCGGGGCGTACCCTGACCGACCGGCCACGCCTAATTAGGGAGGAGAACCTCTTCCGGCTCCTGGGACCGAACAAGGGGTTCAGATGGAAGAAGGGCCAATCCTGAACGAAGGAAGACCACGCTCTTGCCCTGGCTGGGCAAGGGTCTCTTGTCCCTTGGACCTCTTGCGGCTGAAGATCGATGTCCCCCATGACCACGACTGGTTTTCCTGTTAAGTTGGAGGGCTCCCCGACGAGGGTGCGAAGATCTTCTTCGAGACCTCCGAGCTCGCCATTCTGTGTCGCCTCCACACCCACAGTCTCTGGGAGGCCCCCACATGTCTCAGGCGTTCAACGCTTGGAATTCGGCTTGTGCCCCATATTACAGCCGTGCTCGCGTAGGAAGGCCCCCTCTCCGCGGCAATCCTCACACCAGGGACTCCAGCGAGGCTGAAGCCCTCAGGCAATCCAGCGCCCGGGAGTCCGATGAGCTCTAGATCTAAGCTGCGCATCGCCTGAAGGATGCCTACTTGGCTATCTGTGACTACGCTGCGGCGCACCTTCCTGCCGTCTACGGACACACAGCCTAATGTGCTCGAAGAGGCCAGCCCCAGCCGGACATGGGATCTTTGACCGACACGCCAGCCCCAGCCGGACATGGGATCTTTGACCGACACCTGAAAGAACCGCAGCCAGTATAAGCTCCCGCCGTACGCTAGCCCAGAGACCCACAGAGTCCGGCCGTCGTAGGACATCCCAGAGCTCGAGCAGGGACCCGACACCGTCCGGGGCCCGGGGAACTGGTTTGGACCCGAGTGGGCACGAGGATTCCGCTGGCAGCTCGCCCCGCTGGTGAGCTAGCAGGATGTCCGCGGTATGGTCGCCGCACGGACCCCAACGCCCCTGGAGTGCGGCGCTCGCGCCAAGGAGGAGGAGGAGGAGGAGGAGGAGGAGAGGAGGAGGAGGAGAGGAGGAGGAGGAGGAGGAGGAGGATGAGGGGGAGGAGGAGGAGGGAGGAGGAGGAGGAGGTGAGGAGGAGGAGGAGGAGGAGGAGGAGAGGAGGAGGAGAGGAGGAGGGTATGAGGAGGAGAGAGGAGGAGGGAGGAGGAGGAGGAGGAGGAGGAGAGGAGGAGGAGAGCAGGAGGATGGGGAGGAGGGGGAGGTGCTCGGGGCGGGCGCCCGTGCGCGGCCCGGAGCCTCCTGCCATCGGAGGCCACCCGTCGGGTGTGGTTCAAGGGGACGATTGGCGAGACGTCGCCCAGGTTCACGATGCTCTTCGGCTGATGGGCTTGTTTTCCGCCACCACCACCATAAGTTGGAGGGGGGAAGGAGGAGGAGGAGGAGGAGGAGGAGGAGGAGGAGGAGGAGGAGGAGGAGGAGGAGGAGGAGGAAGACCCCCTTCCCCTCCAACTTATGGTGGTGGTGGTGGACAATAGGCCCATCATCGGCGGCTCGGTCGGGCTCGCGCACATCTTCCCCGTGCTGCCCATCCTAGCGGTGCTCGACGCGCTGGGCGTCCGGGAGGCGCGGATGGGTGTCGGCGGCTGGACGCCACACCAGGTCGGGCGCATCCTGCTGGGCGCGACCATCGCGGGCTCCGTGAACGTAGGGTCCATGACCGTGATCGCACTGCGCAGCCCTCTGTTTTGGTCGTCCATACAGATGCTTGCCATTGGGGAGTAAGAGCGGCAGACCCACCCCAGCCTCCTCCCCAGGAGGAAGGGAGGAAGGGAGGAAGGGAGGAGTCTCGCGAGAAGCAATTGGCGCCTGAAGGTCGTAAAGGTCAGAGCGGCGATACGAAGTTGATTACGTGGGCACGGGGGGGGGGGTGCATCAGAGCAAAGAGGCGAGCCACGCCCAGGGCGCCACCTGGGCCCCAGGCCTCAGGGGGAGCCCTCGCAAGAGAATTGGGCCGATCTCTGACCTGAGGTACGCTGGCAGCGCGGATGGCTCCCTGACGCCTCGGCCCAGCCCAGCCCATCCCAGCCCTGACCCACAGGGACCTGGAGGGAGGGAGGTAGGGAGGGAGGGATTGAGGAGAGGAAGGGAAGAAGGGGGAAGAGAGGGGGGGTGGAGGGACCTGGAGGGAGGGAGGGAGGGAGGGAGGGAGGGAGGGAGGGAGGAGGGAGGGAGGAGAGAGGAAGGGAAGAAGGGGGAAGAGAGGGGGGGGTGGAGGGGCTGTGCCTCGGCGCCGTCATTGCTCCTCGCCCCCACCGCGACTCCGAGAGATCTGGCTGGCGAGGGCCAGGGGCAGGCTGAGGGCAGCAGGCTGCCTCCTCCTCCTCCTCCTCCTCCTCCTCCTAAGACATGGCCAGGGCCAGAGGCAGCGCTAAGACAGACAGGCCCCAGTCCCACCACCCCCGTCCCACGCCCAGGCTTCCGATCCAGGCGGATGGGAGCATGTCGTCTGCATGTCGTGCCGCCCCGAAAAAACTCCGGACGAGAGTCCAGGGACCCCCCCCTGGACTCCCGGAGGGTGGAGTCCCTGGACTCGCCACAGGGGCGGGCCCCCGGGCGCAGCCCGGGCCCCGGATCCCCCAGGGGGGGGGGAGCAGCAGAGCAAAGAGATGGGCACATCCAATGGGGGTGACCCCTGGGGGCCCTGGACCTGGGCACCGCCCAGGGTGCCACCTGGGCCCCGGGCTCCACGGGGGAGCCCTCACGAGAGAGTTGGGCCGATCCCTGACCCGAGGTGCCCTAGCAACGAGGATGGCTCCCAGACGCCTCGGTCCAGCCCAGCCCAGCCCATCCCAGCCAGACCCGCAGGGACCTGGAGGGAGGGAGGGAGGGATGGAGAGAGGAGAGGAAGGGATGACCATGTTTTGTGTCGGCGGCGCAAGTCGAGACAAGGGCTTTTGATAGGCCTACCTTAGAAGGCAATGTTGGGGCAATGCGCCAAAACTGAGAGCGATCTGAGGCGATCGCCTGCAGGGAGGATGATCTGGCATCCCCCAGAGTTGGGTCAAGCATCGGCGCCTGTATCCATGCGTTCCGGCGGTAGCATAGCAGGACCGGCGCACAGCGATGTCCCTATTCTTGCTGACGGCACGCGCGGCGACGCAGGGAGAAGAAGAGTGGACGCACAGGACGCCGGAGAAAACGTAAAGCTAGCAAGGAGAACGCGCAGAGGTGCCCAGCTGATGTGGGTCTTCGGCAGTCCTCTTAACCAAGACGGCCGCAGGTGCTTGAGGCGTTGCCTACTCTTGTAGGCTCTAAGCCGCACATGTGCAGGGCGCACGGGTAAAGGGATTTTGCGAAATATGAACCGCACCCCAAACGGGTCAATGTTCGAGCTCGGGCATGGTCGATTCAAAATCGACGGGCTGGCGTCCCTCAGTCCACCTCCCAGGGGACAAAGAAGGACGCGGGGCGAGGAAAGGGAAATAGGGCGGAGAGGAGATCCATGCCTCCAGCACAGATCGATGCAACATCCTCGATCTCACCCCCGGGAACTGCACACAGCAGGAGGGGAGGGGATCGGAGCGGGATAGGGATAACGAGAGCTGCAAGCCGCTGCCCCCAATGCTGCGACTGAGCGCGGGTCGCCGAACGCGCGTCAGGCCGCGCTCGTCCCCTTCCTCGTCTCAGGCCGCCGTCCAACCAGGCGGCGGCAGCGGCGGGAGACTCGGACCATGGATTGGGACCGCCAGCGCCTCCCCTGTGCCGTGGGGGACGGTCCAGTCGAGGACCTTACTGACGATGCTCTCGCGGCACGTCCTGGACGCCGAGATATGCACCCAGCCCTCCTTGCTGAGCCAGACGTGGATCGCCCCCTTCTGGCGCCCAAGCTGGACAAGGATGCCCTTGGGGGCCGCGGGCTTCGGGGGGACGTAGGACCACTCGGCGCCGCCCGCGAGGAGAGGACTGGAGGCTCCTTGGGGCACGTGGGTGGTAATCCAGAACAGGACGATCGTGTCCGTGGGCGTCCTCCCGTTGGGGAGCAGGCGCACCCACCTATCAAATCGGTGACCCTCTTGGTCTGCCTGCCGTTGCTGATGGGGAGCCACGAGACGGCGACGCGCATGCTCCAGGAAGAGCGCGTCCATCTGGCCGGGGAGCTCTGCTGGCGGCACCTCCCCCCCAAGCCCCACGCGGTGCCTCCTTTGCTGTCGATGGCCCGTTGCTCGACCCAGGCGGGTGGGGCGACGTGCTGGGGCTGGTGGAGATGCCCTCCCTTGCGAATGCGGGGGGCTCCATGGCCTGATGGTCGGGATTGCGGATGATCCAGCAGCGGCCGCGGAGAAGGGTGATTCCGGATTCCCCCACGGATGTGAGCAGCGTCAGGCCGGGCCCGGGAGATGTGGCAGGCTGAGCAGGCCGCTTGCTTGAAGGCAACGTCGCCTCCCCCGTTCCTCATCAAGCTCGACGTGGTCTCCTTCGGACCACCATGGACCAGGCCCGCCTTCTCTGCCTCCCATGTGCCCCAACAGTCTGCACAATACGCGTGCCCTGCAAAAGGCCCCGTGGCAACCGGGTACAAGGTACACTCTTTGCCACCCCAATCGCACTGCGGCTGCGTGGCGCGCTGGCGGCCCGTGGAGGCAGGGACCTCCTCTACCCCCGGGGGCGCGTCGCTCGTGGGATGCCCCGAGATGCACATTGCAAGGGCTGCGCTCTGGTGCCAGACTCACACGGCGGGGGGAGGGCGTTACGTCATGCCCCCCTCTCGCCCTCCCCCCTACCCCCCCATAGTCGGGCGACGAAATCTATACATATCCAGTGCTCCCTGACCATGCCCATCTTGAACCCAGGAGCTGTGTATGCGCCCTCCTGGCCAAGCCAGGAGGGCGTGGCGTATACACCGCTGCGGGGTTGAGGATGGGCCTGGCCAGGGAGCAGTGGATATGTATAGATTTCGTCGCCCTACATAGCGCCTGTCGTCTCCGCGAATGTACAGAAAGCTCTCCACGGGCGCTGCCCCCCCCCCCCCCCCCTCCCCGCGCGGAGGCGTACGCGATCTACAGCAACATGTCCCACACCTTCGGCGAGGGCCACGAGCGGAGCGTGGACGCCAGGCCCCTCCGTCTCCAGGTGTCGTCAGCGTCGTCAGCGTCGCCGTCGTCGTCGTCGTCGTCGTCGTCGTCGCCGTCGCCGTCGCCGTCGTCGTCGTCGTCGTCGCTGTCGCCGCCGCCGCCGTCGTCGTCGTCGTCGTCGTCGTTGTTGAGGCCCTCGTCGTCGCTGTCGTCGCTGCTGGCGGCGGCGGCTCGAGGGCCCCACCCCCTTGCCATCCTCTCTCCCCCCCTCCCTGTTCCCTCCCTGCCTCGTCCTCCTTCTCCTCCTCCTCCTCCTCCTCCTCCTCCTCCTCCTCCTCCTCCTCCTCCTCCTCCCCCTCCTGCTCACTAGCTCCTTGCTCAGGCACCTGCCTGGACGGGGCTTCACGGGCGCGCCTGCGCCCACCCGCGGCTCCCGCTCCTCCCTTCCCGGCGGCCCCCTCCTGCCCTCTGCCCGCCGGCTCCCATGGTGGTGGCTGCCCGGCTGCGCTGGGTGCGACGGCGCCTCGAGGCGAACGCGGATGTCAGGATCGTGATCGGCTCTGCTCAGCATGCGGCCCGCTCCAAGATCAAGATCCTCGTGGGCGAGGTGGCGCAGCCTTCGCATCTTCATAAGGTGATGCAGAGCGCCGTCCTGTCCGCCATCGAGGAATTCTGTTCTCTTCATCACGCCGTCGATCGAGGGCACCTGCACACGGACGGCACCAGCGAGATTGCGATCTGGGTCACTGCGCGGGATGGTGGCGTGCCTCGTGAGGGGGGGCACGGTCCGCCTGGCGATGGCGACCATCCTGGAGACGGTCATGGTGACGAAGATACTGGTGGTGGAGACGGTGGTGCCCGTCGCCGCCGAGGGCCTGACCCTTGGCATGGGGGCGCAGATCCGTGGAGTTCCTGTGCATGGGGTTCGTTCCCCCCGAGTCGTTCCTGACTTCAAGAAGCCACGAACTCAGCAAGCAGATGGTAGTCTCCCTGGCGTTCCTCAGTTTCCCACGTCGGTGTACCCGTACAACACAGATGCTGCTGAGTTTGTTCCTGGTTCTGAGGTTATTCTTCCCGCTTCTGCACTTTCCTGTGATGAGCCCGTTCCTGGTGCTTCTGTGGGTGATGGCACAGGGGGTATCTGCCTCTTCGACGGTGCTCAAAGCGACGTGATTGATGATATGATGTATGACCACGGCGACAATACGGAGGTGATCTTCCCCGACGCTGCACACTGGGGTACGGTGCTCCATGAGCTTGGCGTCGCTGGGGGTGGTCATGCTGAGAAGTATCCTGCTGAGCCTCTGGGTGATCCACCTGCTCAGGAAGATCTTCGTGGCGCGTCTGCCCTGATTGCGCAGACCATAAGCGAACTTGAGCTGATGTTTGGGGGCTCCCCGCCTGCTGGTTCGCCGCTCCCTGACGTGCGAGACCCTCGTGGTGCAGGACGGCCAGAAATGCGTGGTCATGTCCGTCGGGAGATCTTCTTTCTTTCAGGCGATTTCACTTGCAGTCCATATGACGAGCCGAGCATTGGGAGTGATTGTGTGCAGTATGGCTGGCCCCTGGGTGATTCCATCAACAGGCTTTGCGTCACAGTGGAGGGCGAGTTCTTAGGCCGTGTTGGACGGATCCACGACGTGACGGAGAACGAGTTTATGATCCAGTTGCACTGTGATGAGACGTTCACGGTTCTTCCTGCGCGTGCTGTTCATGAATGTCGCGATTTTTCAAGCACGAGGGCTTGGGAGGCCACGCTGCTGGAGAAGACTGTCAACGGCGAGCTCCCAGCTGGCTCTGCGAGTGCTTCCTAGAGGCGTTCTCTGGAGTTGGATGTGGGCTGGGGAGGGAGTGGCTTCGGTGGTCTGGCCCTTTTACGGGTCGGCACGGCCAGGTGGGTGCCTCGTGTGGGCGCCCCTGGTGATGCTGCACACCTCCGCGTTCAGGACTCAGGGGAGGGTGCTTCGGTGGTCTGGCCCTTTTTGGGGCTGGCACGGCCAGGTGGGTGCCCTGTGGGGGTGCCCCTGGTGACGCCCCAAACCCTGGCGCATGGACGGACGGGGCTCGCTGCGGGCTCCGCGGGGGCAAAAAAAAACTGCTCCCCCTCCTGCTCACCCTCCTCCTCCTCCTGCTCCTCCTCCTCCTCCTCCTGCTGCTCCTCCTGCTCCCTCCTTGCAAACACGGGAGGTTCGGAGGAGGAGCGAAAACGGGCCCTTTGAGCGACGATGTACCTCCAAATCCCAGCATATTGCGAAGGCATTACGGCCGTTGCCGCCGACTGAGAGCGACGAAGATGGAAACGAGGGGGGGGCAGTGTGGAGGAGGTGGATGAGAGAGGAGAAGGGGGAGAAGGATTTGGAGGAGAAGCAAGAGGAGGAGAAGGAGGCAGAGGAGAGCAGGAGGAGGGGGAGCAGAGGGGGGGAGGAGGAGGAGGAGGAGGAGGAGGAGGAGGAGGAGGAGGAGGAGGCCAGAGGCTTTCTTGGGACAGCCTGTGGCTCTCCTGAGGCCGTCTTGGGCCGTCCAGGGCTCCTCTTGCGCCGTCTCGAGGCACTTTTGGAGGCCTCCTGGGCAATTTGGGGCTCTCCTGGGCTGTCTTGGGGCAGTTTGGGGGTCCCCTGGGAGCCTCTTGGGGCCTCTTGGGTCTTCTTCGGGGCCTCTTGGGGGCCTCTTGGGGCTGAGAGCTTGAAATGTCCGTTCGGGTCCCCCGTCTGGGCACTCTCTTGGAGCCGTCTTGGGGGCCTCTTGGGCCGTCTTGGAGGCGTGTTGGGCCGCCGTGGGGCCTTCTTCAGCCGTTAGGGGACCTCTTGGGGGCCTCTTGGGCCGTGCCGTCTCGGGGCTTGGGCCGTCTTGGCGCGCCGGGAAGCGGAAGAGGCAAGAACGCCAAAATCTTTCAAAAACGTCTGGGAAATCCATGAAGTGTGCCTCTTGGGGCTCTCGTGAGGAAGCTCCTGGAGGCCTCTTAGGGGCGCTTTGCATGCCTCGCGGGCCGTCTGGAGGCCGTCAAGGCGTCTTGGACAGATCGTTCGGCGATTCGGGGTTCTCTTGGACTGTCTTTTGGGCCTCTTGGGGCGCTCTTGGCCCGCCTTGGGGCTTCTGGGGGCTCCGGGACTCCCCGCGGGGGCGTCGTATCTCCCCCCCCCCTGGGGGCGTCTGACACCCCTCCCGGGACCCGCCCCCCGGCGGGGGAGGGATCGAAGGGAAGGGGCTTCTTTTCGACGCCATTGCGACGTTGCTTATTTTCGCTTTGGCTGGCGCGCTGAGGAGGTCCCTGGGAAAGGGGGGAGCTTCGACGAGCCCAGGGAAAGGGGGGAGGCAGGGAAAGGGGACGACAGAGACGACGACCCACGAATGACGGAGATGGCGACTCGAACGGACAAACCCCTCACGCGCGCCGACAGGGTCGGCGGATTTCTTCACGCCTCGGGCCAGTTCGGGATCCCAAGACGAGCCCTCATGGACGAGGGACAACAATCAGGAGGGGAAAAAACACACAGACACAATTAATCGTCGATTCCCCCAAAAATATGGGAAAATATGGGAAGTGGGGGGGAAGACAGAAACCCAGAAAATATGGGAAAATATGGGGAATCTTTTTATGTGTGTGTATTTATTTGTGTGTCCTGGGGCCCCTTCAAAGACGAGCCCTCATGGACGAGGGACAACAAGTCTGAGATACAGAAAGCCAGACTCGGATTCGTTCGAACAGCACGGAGGGCGGCGGCCCTCTCGGCTCCTCCGACTGGCAGGGCAGGGCCAGCCAGGGTGCCGAAGGGGGCGCGGACGGGGCGCAGATGTTTGGCCGGGCGAAAGGGGGGGATTGGGAAAGGGGGGGTTACGAAATTTGCTGCATGCAGCTGGTTTCGGCCCCGCCGAGGGGCCCATTCCTCGATAGCCTCCGGCGCCGGGAGGCGCCGGGAAAATCAGCTACGCGAGCTGATTCTCAAACCCCCCCTTTGCTATCCCCCCCTTTCGCCCGACCCGAGAATCCCAGGGGCCGACGGGCTCTGAGCGCTGCCATCTCCAGAGGTCACGGGCCCCCAAACACCACGGGCATCACCCCCACTCCCAGGTTCCAGTCGGGCGTGTCCCTCCACAGGAGGCATGATGGCATGATGAAAACTGGCTAAAACATAGCCTGGGGACGATGGTTGCCCATGTTTGGCCATTTGGGGGTATTTTTTTTTTGCCCATTTTTGATTTTCCGTCCAAAGTCCGCCTAGGGGGACGCCCGACCTAATCCCAGGTCTCAGCCTGCTCAGGCGCCGAAGGAACCTGGATCGAGAACTTGGGGAAGCCACAACTAAAGGACAAGAGGCCCCCAGTCGGGCTCGGCGGGGGGGACGACTAGCTGGAAGTGCCTCTCTGCATGAGGCGTGGCGCTCGCACAAGACATCACAGCCTGGCTCGGCCTCGCGCTCATCAGGGCTCGGAAGGCGCTCGCAGTCGTGCCGCACGTGCCCAGAGGAGCGTCGGAGGAATCCCACCCATCTCACCGCGGAGGAGGCCCATGAGCGAGGACGTGATCCAGCGGCGTGGACAGGAAACTTTGGGCGGCCTATTTCGCCAGGCTCGCATCCAGCCGTGCCATGCTTGCTAATGCCACCAATAAGGAGGAGGAGGAGGAGGAGGAGGAGGAGGAGGAGCTGGAGGAGCTGGAGGAGGAGGAGGAGGAGGAAGAAGAAGAAGAAGAAGAGGAGGAGGAGGAGGAGAAGGAAGAAGAAGAAGAAGAAGAAGAAGAAAAAGAGGAGGAGGAGGAGGAGGAGGAGGGGGAGGAGGAGGAGGAGGAAGAAGAAGAAGAAGAGGAGGAGGAGGAGGGGTTAGGAAACGCCTGGGCGGATTATTTCGCCAAGCTCGCATCCAGCCGTACCCTTGAGGGTGATATTAAGCATCATAAGGCCGTTCTCGATTATACCTCGTGGACCGCCGCCCGCATGATCCGCAACGGGGAATGGACGGATACTCCTCCGCCCGCTGCTCCGAGGATGCTTCCCGTCTCCCGTCTAACGTTGCCTGGCCGTAGTTTCTTTGTGAACGTTGGCGCCAACGAGGTGCGATGCATTGCCTGCTTCGTGGGTGCGCGGGCGCGTTCCACGCTCCAGCATTTGTGCACTGGGCCGTCCAGGTTCTGCAAGCCCGCCGCCCTTTCGGCTTTTGAGGGTTTTGAGGGCCGGGAGTGGCTTCGAGCGGGCGGCAAATCCCTTCGTCCCCTGAGGGCTGCTATCGCGGTGGAGGCCGAACGGGTCTTGGAGAGTCTGCCGGCTTGCTCGGCCCAATCCCCGCCCAGAACCCCTCTGGGCGACGTCGTGGCAGCATTTCGTGAAGTGGAGGACCGCGGCAATGCCATCCAGCGATTTGGCCGTGTGTCTGCACCTGCTCTGAGTGTGCGGGCTTCCTTGTCATTTACCCCCTGGGGCCCCGTGTGCCCTCCCCATCCAGGGGAGGAAAGGCCACCCGGATCCAATACTTGGCGGTTGCTGCATTGCCCTGGGGCGTTTACCAAAAGCAGCCCTGCCCTGCTCGGCATTATTCCTGTGTGGCACCGAGCCTGGGCCCAGGCTGGGCCTGGCCAGAGTCGGTGTGTGTGTGTGTGTGTGTGTCTGTGTCTGTGTCTGTGTCTGTGTCTGTGTCTGTGTCTCTGTGTCTCTGTGTCTCTGTGTCTCTGTGTCTCTGTGTCTGTGTCTGCTGTGTGTCTGTGTGTCTGTGTGTCTGTGTGTCTGTGTGTCTGTGTGTATGCATGGTCGGAGGAGGAGGGGGAGGAGGAGGAGGAAGAGGAGGAGGAGGAGGAGGCGGGGGAGGAAGAGGAAGAGGAGAAGGAGGAGGAGGAGGAGCAGGAGGAGGAGGAGGACTTTCCTCTGTATTATAGTGGTGGCGTGGCTCCTCCGCGGTCCCGTCCGCCAAGGGGTGAAAACAGGTCGGGGAGCCGAAGGAAGGCCGAGGCGAGGCCTATCCACCCCACGACGGGTGCAGCCCCCCAGACTCCTCTTCCTCCTCCTCCCTCCTCCTCCTCT